CAGTCCAGAACTCCTGGACTCAACGATCATCCCGCCTCAGCCTCCCGAGTAGCTGGGACTACAGGCATGCGCCACCACGCCCAGCCCATTTTTCTATAGATGATACAAATTTATCCTTGAGGGCAGACTGGTACCCCATTGTACAGAGACACCACATTTTCCTAATCTGCTTATCTGTTGGAAGACATAGAGGCTGCTTCCAAATGTTAGCCATCATGAACTGTACTGTCACAAACACGGTACGCGTGTTTCACTCTAAGATGACATCTCTTGACTCTTTCAGGAATATACCTTAGACAGGAATAGGCAGGTTGAATGGAACTTCTAGTTTTAGTTTTCTGAGGCATTCATAATGACTTCCACAATGATGGTATTAATTTACATTGCCACTAGCAATAAATGCAGCACCATCAACATTGATTATTATTTGCTTTCTTGATGATAATCACTCTTTCCAGAGTAAGATGGAATCTCAGCATTGCTTTAACTTGCATTTGTCTAACAGCCAGAGTTGTTAAACATTTTTCTATGTATTTATAGGCTACCTGCATGTGTTCTGATATGTTTATTTTAGTGGCCCGTTATCTGACATGGTCTTTTGGAGATGGTCTATTTATTTTTTAGGGGTTTTTTTATACATTCCAGATTTTCATCCTCTGTTTGTGGAATAGGTAGCAAGATTTTTCCATTCTGTAGCTGTCTCTTCACTCTGCTTGTTGTTTTTCTTGCTGTGTAGAAATTTTAAAATCTGATGTGATCCAAGTTTATTGATTCTTGACGTTATTTCTCAGGCACCTGGACGTCTACGCAGAAAGTCCTTGACGATGCCTACCTGAGCCTTCATAACTTTACTTAGTCATCTTCCAGCAGGTTAAAGGTTTCCATTTTAAGGTTGAGATCTTCGACTCATTTTTACTTTAGTTCAGTATAAGGTGAGATATATGGATCTGGATTTAACCTTCTGCACAAGGATAGCCAGCATGCCCAGCACTGTTTTCAAATATCTTCTTTCTTTTCTTCTTTCTTTTTTTTCTTTCTTTCTTTTTCTTTTTTTCTTTCTTTCTTTCTTTCTTTCTTTCTTTCTTTCTTTCTGTATTTGGTACAGGGTCTCACTACACAGCTCCAACCCATAATGATCCTGCTGCTTTCAGCCTCTCCAGCACTGGGATTACAGGTGTGCGCCACCACCCCTGGTCTCCATGGCCAGCTCAGTGCACCCAGGGGTGGGACTGGCGCAGTGTGTGGCGCCAGGGATTGAACCCTAGCCCCTGTGCTTGCCTAGGCAGGTGCTTGGTCCGCTGAGCTATCTCGCTGGCCTTCAAATACCTATTCTGTTTCACTGAATAGCTATTTCCTCTTCGGGAACTCCAGCGGTCCCTCTGGTGGCTTCTCCCCGCCTTTCTTCCCCCTCCTCTTCTCTCCGGCCCTTGTTACTGCTCCTCTGCGCTACAACTTTTGTGGTCACTCAGCCGCCTCTCTCCAGCGGGCCTCACCACACTGTCATTCATAGCTCTTCTCCCCAGACACCTCATCATTTAGTCTGTATTTCGAAGAATAAATAAATATGCACAGTCTACTATGCTATTCTATTTCTTTCCTGAGTCAGTTTGCATTGATTTCTGGGGGTTTGGCCCCTTTCTGATCGTAGTTTTAGGATGTATGTCTCAAAGTGTTTTTCATAAACTAGTGTTTGCCTGGAATAAACTGAACACCGTCTGCAGTGCCATCTTCAATATTCCTTTGTTTCACGGTAGCTTCTCAGAGAGCAGTGTCCGTCCTCTGCCGGGCTTCGGCTGTCCACTCTGACCAGGGACAGCTACACACTCCAGGGTGGGGCTGAGGGGCAGAGCTGAGTCACACATCTCCGATTTAAGAGCTCCCCCTGCTGCCAGAGTCGTGAAGTGCAGCTCTTCTGAAGCGCGGGGTAAAGGGGGCGTCATGCACCCTTGTGTGTCTTGACTTTCTTTGCCCTTGTGGTCTCCTAGGTACCCCGATCCTGTTGCTTTCCCTGCCTACGACTGCTCATCCGTGGAAGCTCTGCACCTGGTACCTGTATACTTTTTTTTTTTTAATTTGTGGGCAAATACTCACCAGTAGGATTGCTAGATTGTGGCGCACTTCTATTTTCAGTTTCTTGATGAACCTTCCACTGTATTCATTTACGTTGCCGCCAACCATGTACGAACATTCTCTTTCTTCCCACACCCCCAACAGTGGCGCAATCTTTGGTCTTTTCTATAATAGCCGTTCCTACTGAGGCAAAGTGATGTCTCTCTGTGACACATAATAAATCCATCCGTTGTGGGGACCTGATGCACAGTTATATTGAATCTTTCTAAAAAAATGTTAATCTTTTATGTATTTATTTATTTGGTACAGGGTCTCACTATGCAGCTTGAACTCATACTGATCCTCCTGTCTTAGTCTCCCCAGCACTGAAATTACAGGCATGTGCCACCACCCCCAGTTTCGGGACCAGCACAGGCACCCAGGATTCCAGGGCTGGCACAGCATCCAGTACCAGGGATCGAACCCGGGTCCTTGCACTTGCCAGGCAGGCGCTTAGATCTCCAAGCTATCTTCCCACCCCCTATACTGAATCTTGATCCTCAGGGTTAGATCCTCAGGAAATTCTTATATTTCCCTTCCTCTCCACTCCTTCCCATCCCCCATCTCTAGATCCGCATCCCATCACCACAGAGTGTATCTCCCTATTTCCTATCATCTGGCTTTTATTGTACTCTTTATTTTTTTTTATTTTAGATTCCTCACATAAGACAAACCGCATTGTATTTTACTTTCTAGGTCTGATCTACTTTGCTTAGCATTACGGTCTCGAGAGAATCCATTTTCAGTCCTTTCCTCTGCAGCTGGCTCTCTTATCTGTCTGAACCTTTTTTCATTGTTCTCCCACTTGCTCTGTCTGAGGGTGATTCTCACACAGCGGCCTCTGCCCCTCTGTGGCCTGCGACCTGTCATGGGAGCTCCCAGTGTAGCTCTACAGAAACCTGATGTTCATGTCCTGCTTACAGCAAATGAAGTTTGCACCAGTCTCTGGCTTCCTTTTAGGCTTAGGGTGAGGGGTTCATGTGGCTTAATTTGCTTGCTTGCTTTATTTATTTATTTATTTATTTATTTATTTATTTATTTATTTATTTATTTTTGCAGAACCAGGGATTGAACTCAGGCCCTTGCGCTTGCCAGGCAAGCACTTATTGCACTGAGCTATCTCCCCGGCCTTTAATTTGCTTCTTAATGATCTGGACAGTGGGGGTTTATTGAAGAAATAAAGCGGATTGAGATTTAAGGAGCAGAACGAATTGCTTGAGCTTATTTCGAAGGACCTCATTTGTAATTCTTAATCAGATACTTCTTCGATCTGAAGTTAGATTTCTCATTGTTAGACCACTTTCCATTTCTGTGACAAAATACCTAAGAGTAAGCCCTTTGAGAGGCTGAGACAGGAGCATCAGAAGTTCAAGTCCACCCTGCGTAACTTAACAAGACCCAGCCTGAAAATAAAAAACAGAAAAGGGCAGGGGAAGTAGCTCAGTGCGCGGGCCCTGGATCCAGTCCCCTGTCTAGGAAACAAAACCAATAAAAACCCCTAAGAGTAACACCTTGAAGGGGATGCAGTTTGTTCTGGCTCGCAGTCTCAGAGGCTTCATGCTCAGCCACTGCTGCGGGCCCACAGTGAGGCAGGAATTGCTGGAACAGCGACCAGGCACAAGGACAAGATCAGGGTCCCTAAGGCATGACTGACCCACGTCCTCCAGCAGGTTCGGGCTTCTGCTCAGGTTCTGCCTCACCCCAGTAATGAGCTGTGAATCCATCAGTGTGAGGTTAGAGGCCTTGGGACGCATCACTTTTCAAAGCTCCCATCTCTGAGCACTGCTGCCTGGAGGCCCTCCAGATCCAAACCAGAGCACCAGCACCTTTTCATCCTGTTGCAGAGGCTGCAGTCCATTCTCTTGCGCCCCATCCATGCCCTCTCTGGGGCATCTCTTCCCCAATTACTTGGCCTCACTGGCACATGACTAATCTGCCTGGCCCAGTCACACCCTCTCCCCATGGGCATCCAGTGGCTGGCGGATGCAAAACACAAAGCTTTGTCCCCTTGCCCTGACGTGCGACAGCCCCAATGGATCCTCCCAGCTTAGATCTCCCCCTAGGTCTCAGTTGCAGCCACACTGAAGACTGGGTCCTGTAGCTTCCCAACATGCCCACCCTCACATTCTCACTGGTGCCTATCCTGGGTGGACATCTCAGCACAGTTCCAGCAAACACTGCTCTGCCTCAGGCACCATCATCTAGCCGGCAAGACAATCGCCAGTATAAAATAACTATCACGTGACAACAGTCACTAGCCACTGTAAGTCCATTGTGCATATTGTGTATATCTGGACACCTCTCAAAAGGAAACTGCGAGAAAGATGCTATTATGATCATCTTCGGGCCTCAGAAGAGAACAAGAGAGAAGCAAGTACCATGAGGAACTTAACAGGCGGCAGAGGCAGGATTCAAACACGGACACTCAACTCCAAAGCCCATCCCCTCGGCCACCTCACTCCCCTCCCTCCATCGGCTCGCATCCACCATGTCTCTAGCATGCCCCTCAGCCTGCCTGCTTTCCCACCACTCCACAAGAAGCTAGCTCTAAAGCAGAGCTGGCCTGTAACACATAACAAGACGACTGCAGACAGCAAGGTCTCCTTATCCTTTTAACACATAGAACTTTCCCCAGTGAGCTAGCTATAATCTTATTTGCTAAACACGGAATTTAGTCTTATGGAAGCTGTCTTTCAAAACTCTAGCACTAAAAACAGAGAAGTATGCCTGTAAATCTGTCTATTAATCACTCCTAGCACAAGCTGAATTGTCTTGGGTACTGTACAGTATTTGAGTAGGGTCCTATTGATAACCACTTCTCTGCAGATTTTTTTAAAAATCTGACTTCTATGTAATAACAAAAATACTGTAAATGTCTCAAAAGTTCTTACCTCCGTCTTGGAATTTACTTAATCTTTCAAAATACGATGACATGGGAGCCTGCACAATATCGAGGATGGCCAGCAGAGTCCTCGTCAGCCTCAGCAACTCGCTGAAACTATAAAACCCAAAGTAGATGAGATTTCGAGCCAGATGAACCACCTGAATTTCAGAAAAGGAGAGGAAGAAGACAAAAAGGAACGTTAGGAGTTGACCTGAGCACTTTTTAAAAATCTCAGATATTTCTAAACTGCATAGCTCTCCACGCCCCAGGAATTAAAATAGTTCCAAAAACACCCGCTACCACCTTGATTGACACTAGCCTAGAATGAATGCATAGGGTGCTGGGTGCTTTAGGGTGGCTAAAGAAGCTTATACTAGGATTATTTACTTCTCTAATGAAGTATTAACTCAAAGTTGGTGGGATACCACATAATAAATGGGTAAATTAACTTAATAGATATAATTCATGGGCCCGGCAAGATAGCTCAGTGGTCTAAAGCACCTGCTTAGGCAAGCTTAGCACAGGGACCACGGTTCAATCCCTGGTACCACATGCCACACCCTTGAGGCAGACTGAGCCGGCCAAAAAAAAAAAAAAAAAAAAAAAAAAATATATATATATATATATATATATATATATATATATATCATGAAATTTTACCAGAAATCTATGCTCATTAATTATGCTGCCTGTGGTTTTGTGGGTGGCACAGGCAATTAAGTCTGAGCATCACCCAGCCACATTCTTCCTAAGCCCCCGCCCCATATCGACTAGGAGATAATCCAAGTTTTTTTTTTTTTTTTATGGTATTGTTCTTCAGACTAGCATGCCACACACATCAACAGCTAGCTGACATAGCAGGTATCAACTAATAACACCCCTGCTCTAGGTTGGCAATAAATCCCCACTATGATATTAGAACTCGAGCTATTTCTGTTTAATCAGACTAAATAGCATCACACCTCCATGAAAATGAAATAGATTGCCCAAACATCAAGTAGGCAAAATTGTCTTTCTTCATTAACTATAATTAATAAAGCTTACACACATGAAACAAAAATATCAGGAAAATAATTACCAATGTTTAAAGCAAAGTATTTTATTACACATCAAGGTATAATCAAACCTTCTTCAGTCTTGTGGTTGTTTTGTTTGCTTCGCTTTGCTTTGCTTTGGTACTGGGAATTGAATTCCAGACCTTGTACTTGCCAGGCAGGTACTTGTGCCCCTGAGCTATCTCCCCAGCCTCCAAAACATCAATCTACATTTAATCAATGGCAGAAAAGATTCTACCATCATGACCTAAACTATCTAATTACCAAGACATCTTAAATAGTAAAAGGGAAAAAAATCTTGACGCTCAATGTTTCTAATTTTGGTCAGGGAACATTTAATTATTTCAAGAATAATTGTTTTAAGATACCTCAAATGGCTTGATTCAATGAGAAGAAAGGCATGTGCTAATAGTGTTTGGACAGGATATCCTCTCTGCTTCTTGTACTATGGATAACCACTAAGAAGATAACAATGTACAATGTAGTAATTATTGAAACTGTCCTATTAATCAGTTTTGAAACTGTCTCATTGCTATTTGCTTCTCAATAAAATAAAATAAAATCATAAAAAATAAATAAATTTTTTTAAAAAGATACCTCAAATGTCAGTTTGTTTTTCTCTTTATCTCCAAAAGGAAAGGGCTGATTTACAACTTCTTTCAAGTATTCTTCAACAAATTCCATTGTCAGTGCGAATTTCCTCTTCATGTCATTTCTGGAAGTGTCTGTGATAGAATTATATCTAGGAAGACAGGAAGAAGGTACCGCAGGTTGAATTGGTTTTAATCAATTAAAAACAGGAAAACTATTTTATATATATTTAACTTCCAGGCTTTGTAATCTTGACTGATTCAGTCAACCTTTCTGGATGTTGGATCCTCATCTGTAAAATGGGGCTATTGTGAGATGCGGTAATCCATGAACATAAATCAAAGCCAGCCACAATATCAAACATTCTGCAAATGGATAGCCATTATTATTTCTGTACTGGTTTCCAGAAGGAATCTTCTATTTGTCAAAAGTTATCATCTTTACCAAAAAGAGCTCCCATTTACACTTGGAGGATGAACAATTTTAGAACGAAAACCCAAATGCCTCTTTTCATGGGTTTCACTTCGACACTGAAGGCATCTGAGTTTAAGTACACCTAGGAAATTTCAAAGCCTTGAGAAAAGTTTCCAAACGTACTCGTGAATTGTGATCTTCGTGGGGATTTCTGTCCAGAGCCTGGCGTAACGAACGGGCACCACAGACTCCTGGGGATCCCGGTCCACATGCATGTGGAGCATGAGACGACAAAAAGATGCACGCAGGTCAAAGGGCAGACTCTCGTCTGACACACAGCGCAGGATCAGGTCCACAGAGAGCTGTGTAGAGATCTGGTTGATGGCCAGGTACTGGCGATCCAAGCACATTCTTGCAAAGAGGTTTAGCTGGTACCTGCAAAATATCCAAGAGAGAGCATTATTTGTCTTATCTGGACAACGTTCTTAAACATCACACCACCGAATCAGGACCCACGTTGATAGTCTTTTTGATACTGAGTCTAATTGTTTTGGAAGTAGGTCAAGCGATCAAATGGCAACGCAGATGTGAAACACCTTTTATGCCCCCTCATTATGACTTATCACACTTGTTGCAGTGACAGATCTCTGGAGGACAGTGTCACTAGGCTCTCAGCTTCCTAGAATTACAAACACACTAAGCCAGAAGGCCAAGGACAATGGCTCACATGAAAGCATCCTGCTCCTCCAGAGTCCCTCATCTGGGGACTCCGGCAGCTACATTCAGCTCCCAAAACACCATGGGATCGGTACAGTGGCACTGGGACCTTGGACTCTTTGGCCTCTGAGATTGAGAATCAGCCTTCACTTCTGTTGCTGCAGTTGTAGACACCAGGGACCAAGAGGTTTTTGTATTTCTCTGATTCCTGCCATTTACAGTTAACTTGGCAAAGGGCTTCTGCCTTGGTTCTTTGTACCTTAAACTCAAAGATGCCAGGCAGATTCTGGCTCCCAGAGGTGGGTCACTGGAGGCATGGCCCAGAAACACGTGTTCCACTCCCTTGCTCTGCCCTCCTCTCTGCTTCCTGGCTGCTGCTGAGTTGAGCACCTTTTCCTCCACCATATTCCTACATGAAGACATTTCAGTCTCGAAGTCAGCAGCCCATGGACCAAAACCACGAACCAAAATCAACCTCTGCTCCTTTATTTGCAAGGGTGAGGTATGATGTCCCAGCAATATAAAAATGACTAAGACTACCACTTTCAGTGGACTTGTATAACTAGATACGAGCTTCTCTGAAAGCCCAGCCCAGCACATATTCACTCACGCAACATTCTAACCCAGGCAAGCTACCTGAGGCCAGATCAAATGCCTCAGCCCAAGTTCCACGTCTCAATCTGTGATCCTAACTGGTCTCTCATCTGTCTCTACTCCAATCAATAACAGGAAGAAGCCCTTTGCTACACACAAATTTCACACTAAACAGAAAACTCAGGACATGGCAAATGGTATATGTGGGAAACAGGCATCCATATTCATCTTGAATAGGTTAAGTCCTCTATGTCTCAGCGACTCTGGTTCTGATGTGACTTTAAATTTCCGGCTCACAGATAGCTAACTTTTAAAAAGAACCAGCTCTCATGAGTGTGGAAGACGGAGAAGATGGATTCTCCACAATACTCAACCTGTAATAGGTAAGAACTTCCAAGTCAGCTTTGGTGCCTTCTTTGGCTTCTTGAGCCAGATGCCTGATAGCCTTGCCGTGAGGTTCCTTGTTGCTGTCGATCCAGTAGAGCCAAACCTCCTCATCATCCATGTCCTCCGAAAGGAAGGAGCTCTCCATGGGGTTTTCTACTTGCATGGAGACCAGCCTTGAAATCAGGAACACACACAAAAATCCATCAGAAAGCACACTTACAAGCCTGGGGTTAAGAAACACGCTTATGAAAATAACAAACAGAAAGTAGGCGCGCCCGTTGTCTGTCTTACTTAGTTTGGATGAGGATGTCGGCATTGCCGGGACTCAACATAAATTTACAGATGAGCTCTTGAGTGACAGGGATGGCAGTGGTATTAGACACACACAGATCGGACAAATAATCCAAGAATCTGGCAAGAGAAAAACACTACAGTGACCATTAAGACAAAACATTTTATAAAAGCATCACAACAAAAATGGGGCTGCAGAAATAGCTCAGTGGCACAGTGTCTGCCTGGCAAGCACAAGGCCCTGAGTTTGCTTTCCACTAAAAAAAAAAAAAAAAAAAAAATGCAATTTGGAATATAACAAAAAAATTATTTCAAAACATTGTAATATTATTTCCAACAATATTTTTCTTATACACTGCTCTCTAGTGTGTCATTAAAAATAAATTAAAGGATCACAAAGGAAATGTTTGTCTCTGTTTACCGAGGGCCACTAATCCCTTAGTAAGTCCCCAAAATTGGATAGCAAAATAAAAGCAGACCAAAGCCAGTACTGTCCAGAGTAAAACAGGATGACAGCAAATACTCAAGTGAAGCAGCCATGTCCTGGTCAGGCAGAAGGACCATCTCTGCCCTCCAGTATTTATTCACTGTAGTTAGTTAAGAAAACTCAGTCAAAGGGCTCGGTTTCTCGGCATTCACTTCTCCCAGGTAATACAGCATGCTGCAGTCCAAGGAATGCAAGACACCCTAATTCACCTTGCATTCTATTCCTAACTATTGGGTTATTCCCAGGCAAGCTCCTCTCTGGGCTTCTATTTTCTCATTTCTAAGATGTGAGTAACATAACTCAGTGGTAGAGTACGTGCTGAGCATGCTTGAGGCCCTGGGATTGATTCCCAGTACCAAACACCAAATAAAGAAATAAATCAATTAGCAGTAGACTTCATGAGAATGCACATGATTCAAATATGATGCATATGAATATACTTGGGAACCCCATGCGTACGTGATCAAGTGGAAACCAAGTGCATTTAAATATAAGTCTAGGCCTGGGATTATAGCTCAGGGGTGGAGACAGCACTTACTGGCCTAGCCAGGAGGCCCTCGATTCATTCCCACAGTGTGAAAACAAAGAAATGAGTATATCTGTAAAGGACTGCGATCTCTCCTAAGGTAATAACTCTTTATTCTTGGTAGTTATTATACCAATAAAGCCAACATAGTTTGTCCATGAAAGTCGGCACCGGGAAAGAACTGTAACTTTTAACTGCTCTACAAATAAAGCAAAAGGCTGCCAACCCCATAGAAAAGAACAGCGCCTGCACCGCTCCAAACCTTGGCTCCCGATTCCTCCTGAGTAAGCTGACAAATGTTTCTATTTCTTTTGCTGTGATGTGTTTCTCTAGTAGCTTTCTGTTGTTGTGCAACAAAGCCGTGATGGTGTCTTCTGCCAAAATGTCATAGCCAATCTGGGACTGCATGACACAGAAATTCTTAGCGATGTACTCCTGCAAGGAAGAAAGGCTGTCAGAGGGGACAGCTTCCCCATTAGGGTTAGCAACCTGCGTTCACTTCCCCAGAGCAGATAGCTCACTAGAAGCGTTGTCAAAAGAAAAACAGGGAAATCTTCAATAATTAGAACTTTTCAGGGGAAGGAAATGAAAACCAAGCAACGTGTATGAATTAAATTACATGGAAAAGTGTGTTGCTAGAAATGATTTCAATATGGGTATCCTTGTAAGTGGGGGGGGAAATATATATATATATATATATATATATATATATATAATTAAAATAGGAAGTCTTTACAATATGATCACTTAGGATTTTGTCAGCCTAATTGAGGTCCTTCTTCCAACACTCAATGAAAATCATGACCAAGGATTTTTGGCAAAATTTAATAACAACAACAAAAAAGAAATGACTGCCTGATATTTTATTCATAAAGCATGAGATCTTTATAGCCCTCTAAAGGTGAATTTGAGTTGATTTCTTTCTTATACATGGACTATCATGACTTGTAAGTTATTCTCTACTGAGCCCACTCCTCATCATTAAAAGCCTTTAAATACCATAACGTAGTTGTTATTAATCAGATCCATTCATCCAATATATCATTCCTAAAGAGCTAAAATGTTCCAGGCATTGGGAAGCTAGGGATACAGCCATATGCGACACAGGTGAGTTCTCAGGAGCTTGGCATCCTACTGAGACAAAGAGCAGCAAATGAGCGAACAAATACGATCGTGTTACATATTGATAAGTGAACGGGAACAAGCAGAAGGGTGGAGGACAGGGGCAACTTTAGATGGCAGAGGCTAAAGAAGTGCTATCTGAGCAAGAGTGGAAATGACGAAAGGAAGCAGCCCCAGGAAGCCCTGGGAAAGCTCCCGAGGCAGTGCAAGAAGAGGCAGGGGCAAAGGCCCTGGGGTAATGGAACGGAGCCTGTTGTAAGGTAGCCACTGAACCCTGTGAGTTGTGAATCATGGGAAAGGGCAAAATATGTTACCCTAAAAGCAAGGAAAGGTCACTTGCATGCATGAGTTCACCTGCTCCTTCCTCTCCACAGTAACTCCCCTGTAGTCCAACCTACTGTCGTTCATACTTAGCATTCTGTACGCACGTAATACATTTCACACAATCATAGAACTAGTGAACTTAACCCCTTCCACGATTAAATGCTCTCCATTTCCTGGGGATTCTCCTTGGAAGTGTGGTTCTGTTTCCATGGTGGAAGAAATTATTGATCAGAAAGTGGTTTTTGCCTTAGGTAATATTTACCGGAACACATCTATTCTTTGAAAATGGTATCAGTTGCACACATCTAATTATATTCTAGGTAGCATTTTTGTGGTCTTTCAAAATGAGGGCTTTGTGTATTGAGTAGCTAATTAAGCCCAGTAAATTCTTCTGTTTGTATATTATTTTAAAGATATGTCCTGATTTATACACTTTTCTAACCATTGATATTCAGGCATAAGGCAAATTTCCAAAATGTTAATAAATAACCAAATTAAATGAGAGGTATTATCAAATCAATAAATAATAATAAACAGAAACTCAATTCTAAAAACCTGGAGAACAGCCATTCTATCTTGTGAGTGATGTCTCTGTTAGGGCTATAAAATTCAGGGGAGGGCAAAAGAAATAAGGTAATTAAGCAAAAATGTAGGGGGTCTTTCTGACTGTATTGTAGGAATTTTTTTTTTCTAAAACACAGCAGAGAGCTGTTTTATGGTTAACACAAAGCACTTAATTCAATAGAAATGCAAAGCAACAGTTTCTCAACTCTTGCTGGGACTCATGAGAGCTTGAAGGAGAGGGTGAGGGGAATTAAAAGCTGACCTTCAGTGGCCACCAGGAATTCATGTGTCTGCCAGCTCTGCGGTGGGGGGGGGGGGGATCACCCGCAGAAAGCAGAAACCCTCCTGTGTGAACATTGACCTGAGAGAAACGGTACAACTGGGCATGAGGGGTGGGTGGGTGGGTGGGTGTGTGTTTGTGCATATCAGTATATTAAGCAACTCTGCAACTAAGACATGAGAGAACCAAGCACGCCAGACCTGGAGAAACTGAGAAAGATTATCAGCAAAGATGTGGTCCCCAGACTCTACGGGGAGCTGGCGGCACAACCAAGCCCAAGCAGATCAGGCATCAAAGCCCAGGCCAGAACCGCAGGAGGAGGACGGGCCTCGGCAACCCGCCACAGCCCCGATCCATTGCGGCTGGGCCTTCAGGAACCTCTGCAGAGCTGGGGATCTTTTTCTATAAATCTTGCCCTTCAGAATTATCTGCATGCACGGAGTGGGGCCCTGTTTAAGCAAGTTACGGTGGCATCGTTATTTAAAATGATAGCTTCATGTTCTGAGTACCCAGGTAAGTAAAATAAGTTTCTATTTCTAGAATTACCTATTTCTAAAATTGGCTAATCAACAGTCTTGCACCACAGTGGACTATGGCTATTGAAAGCAGCAGAAAAAAACAAAAAAAAAATACCCCGGGTAAGCGGGGACTACTAGATGTTTTCTGGACCCAGCAAAGCAATGAGGACAAGGAACATATGCGGAGTGGCCTCATCCCAGAGCTCTGCTGAATGACCTGGGCCCCTCATATTGGGAACACCCCCAACACTGACTCTCTGGGTACCTGAAGCTCTGCTGTGGAACTTTCTGGGACTTACATTTTCCACCAACAAAAACCAAATAACTCTGCTGCGCTAAACTGGGAAAGTGTCATTCTACTGACAGCATTTTTAGTTGGAAAGAAAGATACCTATTACTAGGACCATATTAGACCACATTGAAGAGTTTGTTTATATTAATCCCCTTGCTGTTCCTAGTCATAACATTGAGCTCCTGACTATTTTATACATTCTTTTAGGCCCCTCTTAATCTTTAAACAGAATCCCAAAGCAAACATATTTTAACAGGATTTTTTCCTAAAGGAAGTCTTTTTCTTTCTTGCCAAAATATTTTCAAGCTACTGAGAAATAAAGTGTGCTGACTCATAGCCTGGGTTTCTATGATGAATTCTTTCCAAATCTATAACTTTGGGAGTGTAGAAATGCACGTCAGTGTAGAACACTTGCCTGCCATCCTGGAGGCCCTGGGTTCAATCCCCAGTAATCCACTCCCGCTCCCCCAGAAATAAACAAGCTATAACCCTGGGCAGTTAACTTCCCCTTAAGTGGGCCACAACTAAGCTGAGTTAATTACCAAAACTTGCTTAGCTGGATATAAACATGCACTCAAGGAATACTGTAAATGATCACTAACAACCTCCCTCAAGGCGATGGCCCTAGGCCCCAGGGGACTTCCCTCCCCTGCCTTCCAGCCCTGTCACACCATTCTTCTCCATGGACTAAATGTATCAGCAAAATTTACTGGGGATGCCTCTTCCCTCTCATTTAGTAAGATGAAGTGCACATTCATGAACCAAGTTGTAATTAATTATAACGATTTTAGGTTAAGCTTTCACATTATTGAACACAATGCAAAACATTCTGCATTTTTTAAGATGAGACTTGGGAGGCACACCGTCTGCATGTGCCAACCTGAGGCCACCTGTGCTCTTTGGCACCCACCACTCTCTCTTCCTAGGCCTTCTTCCTCCAAAGCTGTCCACGTGCAACTTATAAAGACGATTCTCTTCCTACTCAAACGCTTCCTTCCCCAGGTAAATGTCCTGGGGATTCGTCAACACAACCACGCTCTCCTTGCTGCCCTCTTCTGTCTATGGGCCCCCTCTTTGCCTCTTCTTCTGTCTCAGATGCACATGTTCTATTTTTTTCCACCACACAAGTAACTCCTCAGCCCACCCGTGGTAAAGCTGTACCTTGCAAGTTTCTCAAGCCAAGAAATGGCTCATTGCTCCTTACATAACAGATCTGGGATGCCTCCTGCATAGCAGGAGCTAATACTGTGCACTACAGGCCCCCAGGACAGCCTCACCCAGCGACTCTTAATTTTATGTGGAAGAAGAAATACATGCATCAGCTCAAAAAATACATGCAGATCATTTTCTTCCATGCTGCCAATATAAAGCAATTCACTGAAAAGTGAAATTTCCCATTCCTACCTTCTGTCCTTTACAATTGCAACCAAATGACCTTGCCTGTCCTTTAAGTGTGAAGCAGAGTTAAGTAAGAACAGGGCCACCCTCTGACCTGGTTTTTCCGGTAGTCCTGCTGTGAGTGTCGCAGCACCCGGTAGCAGAGCCGCAGCATGTACTTGTAGGGTGCATAGCGCTGGTCCCCCAGATCCTCCAGCCGCAGCATGGGGCCCTCTCCTGCTTTCTCCTTGAAGGGCGCTTTCAGAATACCAAACACCTGGCAGGAATATAAATAACCACCTGTGCTCAGGAACGGAGGTACGGGCTTTGCAAACCACTTTGACAATTGTACAAGTAAGTACATTAACTCAAAAACACTTTTATAACATTTGAGTAGAAGTAAGATAAAAAGAGGAAAGCATTTAGGATGCAGAAAGGACTAGCATACAAGGGACAGTTAAAATCACTGCCAGAAGAGGTTTCCTACTTGAATAACAAAAACATCATTGAAGTAAAATGCTTCATCTTATTTAGGTACTGTATTTAATTTAAATGGGAAATACAAGGATGTTCAATAATACCAAGTTACATAAATATATTCATATGAACTCAAATACAATTTCTATGTTTTTTCTTCTGTTGCTTTCTATGGCTTTCCAAAATCAAAGTAATAAGGGGCCAGGAAGATGGCTCAGTAGAATAAGCACTTCCCTGGCAAGCACAAGGGCCTGACTTCAATCCCTGGTTCCGCCAAAAAAAAAAAAAAAAAAAAAAAAAAAAAAATCAAAGTAATATACAAAGGACATTTGCTTTTTATGTGAAAATTACATTAAAAAAATTGTTGCTACATATTGCTTTTACCTCTTTCTGGGGTGAATCTGACAAGAAGAAATAACAATTCTGAGCATGGAGGCGGCTAATATCAGAACAGCCAAAGACATAAAGGCTCTAAGAGTTAGTTTTCCATCTAGGACATAGAAGGAAAAACATGGACAGACCAACAAATGCGCTAGCAGCCTCGCAGCATAATGAACAAGGAGCTACAAGAGCTGGAGAGAGAAGAGGGAGTAGCCAGATTCTCAAAAGAAAGTAACCAGTTAGCAACTCCTACCCTGCCTTTAGAAAACATTAAATAATACAACTTTCCCTAGCAAGTCACCAGATGGGGTCCCCGGCACACGAGCTCCTGGGAAGAGTAAGTTGCCATAAAGGAGCACTTAGTGCATTAACACAGGAAGGCAAAGTGGGCCAGAGTTACCCTTGGGAGTACATGAAATATAGTACCTTTCCACAATAATTCTACAGTTACTAAATCCTTCATTGCATAGTACAATGAATAAAGATGTGACATGTATCGGCTAAAATATCAATAAATCATACAAATTTCTGAAAGTCTTTGAAATCAAATGCTTTACATAGAAGAGTTGCTGGTGTCAGAAAAGACTTCTTCACCAGATTTTTAACCTTTTAATTTATTGGAGAAAAACTTATTTTAAAGAGAGAAAAGCAATGACACAGAATTTCAAAACAGAATTGTAGGAAATGAATGACGGTTAATATATTGCATAGCTTTATCTTCAAAGTAGGTGCTCAGATTACAAGATACAAGTATGCAAAGTTGAGCAAACAATATAAGCAGCTAATGCATCAAACTATAGAACTACGTAGGAAGTGTCTAAAGAAACAGTGGCTTCCCCACAGCCCCACCCCGGAATCCAGCAGCACCTGGGCTTCGGAACTGGACCTAGATCCAAAGTTCAGCTCTATCAGGTATGTGGTTCACATCAGTTCTTCTCTCTGGGCCTTCATATATCCACAGGGGAAATGGGAGTCAAGATGCCTTTGTAGGTGACTCTGGGAACCTAATCACAAGAAATCACCAACAGAGAGCTTGGCTCCTGACTACTCAAGAAGTGTTAGTTTCCTCTCTTCTTTCTATCTGGTGACCATCCCAAAATCCTGAGATTTTACACCTTCATAGCTATGTTACTATAAAATAGAGGGAGCAATAACCTTGGTTAGCCTCCTATAAAAGGTCACTGGTCAGAGCAACGTACTTCCGTACCTAGACAACAGAGATCAGAACAGGAAACTTAACTGTTTGTTCTTTTTTTTTTAATATTAATTTTATTGAGGGGCTGGTGAGATGGCTCAGTGGTCTAAAGCACCTACTTAGAACAAGCTAAGCTAAGCAAAGCACAGGGACCGCGGTTCAATCCCCCAGCACCACAGGCCAGCCAGCCCCGCCCCCTACTGGGCTGAGCTGGCCACACACACACGTAATAAATAAACAAATAAATAAATAAAATTTAAAAAAAACATTTATTGAGAAAGAAGTAGCAATGAGAGAGTTTCCAAACAGGTTAGTAGGACAGTTACAATAATTAATACACTGTATATTGTTGTCTTCATAGCAGTTATTCAGAGGACAAGATGTAGACATGATATCTTTTCTAAATACTAGTACAAATCTTTCTTGTCATTGAAATAAGAGAAAGTAACTGTATATCTATGCTATTTTGTATATTCAGATATATATTTTTTTTCACCACAAAATGGTCCTTCATTTATATCCCCTTTTTTGTTTACTTTTGTCAGAGATGAGTATTCCATTGCCATTCAAATATCGTAGGTACATGAACTCAGCAAAGTAATCCAATATAGTCCAGTAGTCCATAATAGTAGTGGGTTATCTGCCCACTACTATTAAGGAAACTTAACTTTGCTACTGGTAGAATGTTCAACTCACTTCTAACCAAGCGCAGTATAAATGATAGGACACCACACCCAAGATGGAGCTACAAAAGGCTACGGATCCCATCTGAAGGAGCCCTCTCTTGTTCTCTCTTGGATCCCTCCCTGCTAAAGGAAGCAGCTTGTCTTGATCGATGCAGCCCAGCTGAAGACTTCAGTGAATGAGCTGACAGGTAGACCTTCCGCTGATGGGTAGACATGGGGGATAACTATGGCTGCAGTCCTACCTGGCAGCTCGACTGTAACTGTGTGACCCGCAGCAAGAAGCACTCACCTAGGCTACACTTACATGTGTTTAAACCATCCAGACTGTAATGAGTGTTGGGGAGGGGGTCATTGAAAAGCTCACCTGTGCCAAGATGTTTTGTTCTCTCGTTAGTTTTTGACGCTCTCGGTTTGGCTTGGTGATAACCACATCCAGGACTTCTTGCCCATTATTAGGTACGTCAGCGACAAAGAAGATGAGGTCTTCCAATAATTTGGTTACAAACCTATCATAAAATAACAAGGAAATTTTACTCTGTGGTTTAATTTTGGATTTTTTTTGTTAAACCTAAGAAGCAGAATGCGGGAAAATTTAGAGTACTTTATAAAAAATTCTTTCATCGACTAAAGATCGTATTTAATACAATGTTTACCTGAACCTTTATAATAATATTCTCCATTGCGTCAAATCTCTAGTCTGTCTCCAGATCTAACCAAGTATTTACAAATTACAAAATAAAGTCCCATGTGCCTCGACACCACTAGATGCTTCTCCATGACTTATTAGCAAAAGCAGATTATTTCTATTGATGAGAAAATGGTTATTCTTCTAAACCCTTACAGTCAAGCTTTTTTTACTATTAACTCAAATTCATTTTCACAACACTTCCATTTACCCATTGGGTAGCACGGGAAAAGTTTACATGATCCATTAATAGAGACAGAGAAAATCACTGGACACTCCAGATTGTTACAAACATGATTAATGTTTGTGATAGTTTATCTGGACTGTGTACTTGATCTGTTTGACAGATGCTTAGGAAAATAGTAAAGCTCACATCTGGGTATGCCAGGCGGGTGGCAGAGGTGTGATTTTGGGTGCTATGTGTATGGTCTCTAGCCCCTTCCCCTGCAGTTCTTTCCTTATGCACAGGTCCCTGGCCACCCTAAGATGAGCAGCATCGGCATACCACGTCCCTGCACCCCAATGTTTCTGCCTCTAGCCAGCTGACTGTGGACTGAACCCTCTAAAACCATAAGCCAGGTTCCTCCTTGAAGCTGTGTATGTCAGGTATTCCAGCTGTGTATGTCAGGTATTCCATCCCCACAGTGAACAGCGACTAATATAGCTGCTCTATAAAATGGAAGTATTCAAAAACCAAACACTAAGATTCGCATGAAACGCCACATTTCCATTATTATTATTATAACTATTGCTTGAACTTCAGTGGTAGTGAATCCTGAAGCGTCTCAAAAACTCTTCTTTCCTGAATGTCTTCCTCCTTCTCTGTATCATTTTCTATTTGTGTTTGTAGGTGGAAGGATTAAAAAAAGATTCAAATTAGCCTCATCTGCATACTATTAGCATAGTCTTTCACTATCATGAGCATGATAAACCTTGACCTTGTCAATAATAAAACTACATTTTAAGAGCTTCAACCAGATTTACCTGGTAACACAGCATGTGCCTGCATGAAAACAAGAAGACATGACCATAACCCAGAATTGAGGTACCCAGGAAGAAGAGTCAGCACTCTTGTAGATATCATAAACTCTACTCCAAAGTTCCAAGAACTCTCCGCTTTCTTAGGGTTCCAAATTTAAATTTTAAGCCAGTATTGTGGAAAAAATGTCTAACTGATAAGAATAACTGACATACTTAGGTTTCATCTCAGAAGGCAACCCATAGAAACACAACATGGGACTCACATACATCAACGATGGTGGGAGCTTCTTTTGAACTTGTGATTTAATGTCACACAAATCATTCAATGGCTCTTAAAATCTCAAGAGGCTAAAGCAGGAGGATCGCCATGAATTTGAGGCCAGCATGGTCTACAGAGTGAATTTAAGACCAGCATGACCTCAAAGCCATACCTTGTCTCACAAAATAGAACACAAACAGAAAACAAAACAATTCTTTCAGCTCAGGTGGCTTCAGCAAACCAAAATTAAGCTGACCCTCAGTTCCTATCTTTTCAATACAAGTCAAATTTGAGCATAAATATTTGCATTTTCCTTTTAAAATGACTACTATTCCTGTCCTCTTACTGTTGCACTAACCGCAATTGGATATACAGACATAAAAAAGTCCAGTGTTGTAGGCAACTGCAGATCAGCCTGCTCCAAAGCCTTCCAATTGCCCTGATAATTGGTGACAGCTCATAGAATCAAGATAAAAAAGTTAAATTTTTTTCTGAGCTCCCTATAATTAGCCCTATTTTTAGAACTCATCTCATGATGACCCAAGGAAGGAAACCAACGTTCTCTTTGGTTTTTTTGTTTTGTTTTGTTTTTGTTTTTGCCCTACAATCTCAGGCATTCCAACTGTCGCTAAAAGAAAACTCTGGTTTGTTTTCAGTTGAAAAGAGACATTAATTTTGCATTGGGTGTTTGGGTCTTTCCATTAAATGCAATCTCACTAATTTTCTTTTTTTTTTTTTTTTATTTATTTGAGAGAGAGAGAGAGAGAGAGAGAGAGAGAGAGAGAGAGAGAGAGATGTGTGTGTGGCCAGCTCAGCCCACCAGGGGGCGGG